AAGGAATTGCACCTTACTTGATCTTGAAGAAATCCAACAATGGCACTTTCTCTCTCACTCTCTCCACTAAACTCAGCAACTTTTCACCAACCTCTTCCTCCTTGTGACTCACTCTTTTTATAATGATGGATGGAAACAACTAGATCATTCTAGAATCATCTAGAAAAGTCTTGGAATCTCATGTGATGGTAAGTTGGAAATCTCATGCCTCATGCCTTAAACCTAGCAAAATTGGTGTGAAATTCTCCTTATGTGAGATATTGAAGTGTTATAAGCCATTACAAGCTTTTTCCTTGCCTTGTGTTAGGATTTCCAAGGGTGACTTCAAATGCAAGTAACAAAATAACAAAGCATCACCCATTTTAAAGCCTCAAATCAAAATTCTATCTAAACCAATGTTCTCAAAATGATGTTTCCAATCAAAATGATATATTGGATGACCTATTTTGGATTCCTAGATCTTCCAAACCAATTTTCAAATTCAACTTTTCAAACTTATATGCCATTTTTAGTCATTTTGACCATTTTAAAATATCCATGCTCCAAGCTATTTCAACAATTCATGACCTTCTTTCTAGACTTAAAATCACATTTTGAACAACTTTCATGTTTTGAGTTTTTCCATTTGAGTTTTGGAAATAGGAGTTTTAGGCATTGGCTAAAATGACCTATAACTGACAAATGACCAAAATACCCCTGTCTTGTTCAAACCATAAGTTGAGTTCCACAAATCCTATCAAGGACTTCTACCACTCAAATTAAAGCTAAGAAGATGCCCTCCAACATTCATGTTGACCAAGAGATCATAGGAATCATCCTACTAGGGAAAAAGTTGTCTGCAAGTTGGGTGACTTTCAAGGACCCAGATTCACACACCTCAGCTGACCTGTAATTTGTCAAAACCATAACTTGAGCTCTGTAACTCCTATCAAGGACTTCTACCACTCAAATTAAAGCTAAGAACAAGCTCTACAACATTCATGTTGTGGGGAAGATGAGATATCAATCACATCTAGAGATAAAACTGCCTGGAAGATGGGGATCAAATTAGGGTTTTTTCACTGACAATCCTTGGAAACCCTGACTTGAAACTTCTCAAACTCCTCAATCATGATGAGTTGGTCTAGGAATCATCTTTATAACATCTCTATGCATCATTCCATGATCTCATGGCCCTTGGATTAAGTCTCAACCTTCTCCAAATCTTCAGCTGATCTAGGGTTGACCCAGTCAAAACCTTAATTCTACCATTCATGGTTGAATCCTCTGAACTCTTGCATAATGACTTCTCTGGGCTTCATGATGGTTGTCAAGACATCTCATAGGCTTTCTCAAAACATCAAGTTCATTCTCAGAGTCTCAGAATCATCTGAGAAACATCCACAACTCTCAAGCTATGAAGCACACAAACCTGGTTTCAACCAATTCCTCTGAGGATCTCTTGAACTGTCTGGTGAATGTATCAACTTTCAAACACTCAGTGAATAAATAATTGTTGGTCAAATTTTGGGGTGCAACAAGTATATGTCTATGTTTTCTCTCTACCCTTGCATTTTGTTGGGGTGTTCCCACACATGAAGTTTCATGTATGATTCCCTCTCGTTTTAGAATTCCTTAAAACGCATGGTTGGTAAATTCTATCCCATTGTCACTCCGAAAACTCTTGATCTTTACATTAAATTGTGTGTTAACCATGTTGATAAAATTTGTTAAAAGTTTTAGAACTTCTGTTTTTTCTTTTAACAAGTAAACCCATGTTCCACGCGAATAATCATTAACAATCGTAAGAAAATAGTGACATCCACTATGAGAGCTAGTATGATATCTTCCCCACAAATCACAATGTATAAGATCAAAAGGATTCTCAGCTTTATTATAACTATTATGAAAGGGAAGTCTGCATTACTTTGATCTATGACATATGTCACAACAATGAAGTTTATTTGAACATAAATTAAAATTCACTAGCTGAGACATGCGCTGCATAACTTGAGGAGAGGGATGTCCCATGCGTGCATGCCAGAGAACGGTGTTGTCTTCATGATGTGCCGTGAAAGCAGACCCTTGGACTTGTTGCTTCAATACATAAAGCCCACCATGTACATCACCTAAGCCAATCTTCTTCTTCGTGGCAAAGTCCTGTATCATACAATAACTAGGATGATAAGTCACAAATCAATTTAAATCAAGAGCCAATTGACAGATTGAAATTAAATTGCAATCAAACTTAGGAATAAGTAAAACATTTTGTAAAGTAATGTTTTTGCTAAGATCAATGGTCCCCATCATTTCTACCAGCACCGTGTTCCCTGTAGGAATAGTGACATAGAAAGGTTTCTCAATCTTGGTTACCTCTCTCATTAAGGATAAGAGGGGGGTCATGTGGTGTGATACACCACTGTCCAAGACCCATTTTAGATCTTTACAAGATGTATTTTTACTGGATTCACAAAAATCATGCTTCATCACACGAGAACCGTGGAATTCACGCCCCTGTACTGCTTCTTCAGTCGATTGTGCATGGTGAACACTAGATTGTCCTCCATCATCTCTTGAGCGGTGTTGTGTCCTTCGTGTGTGCCAATTCTCTGGGTACCCTATAATCTCAAAACATCTTGATTTAAAGTGACCAGTCTTGCCGTAGTGATCACACTTTGAGTTTGAACCATCTCTTCTCCTCTGTCCACTTTGTTTAGATGAATAAAAAGAAGATCCTCCCAATTCTCTTTTAGTTGCAGCAATCCTTCCATTTTCACTAATGATTCGAGCTTCTTCTCTGAGAACATGGTTGAAAACACGTCGAAGCGAAGGCAAAGGTTCGGTGTTCAGCACTTTCGCCTTAATATGTTCAAATCGCTCATTGTTAACACTTCCGAGAAATAGTTGTACTTGCTGATCTCCTTCTCTTTGCAGAATTTCTTTAGATGCACCACATGTGCATTCTGGAAGTGGTTGCAGTTCTCCTAGTTCATCAAGGAGACTCTTAAATTTGGTATAATATTCTGTCACAGTCATGTACGATTCATGCTCCATCAGACATAACGTGCGCCACAATTGATGGATCCTAGGAGCATTTGTTTGAGCAAAACGCTCCTCCGGATCTTCCCAAATATCTTTCGCAGTTGATGCGTGCGAGATGCTGTCGTGCAAAACTGGATCTACAACATTAATAATCCATGCCATGACCATTGAGTCAACCTTTCCCCAATTGTAAAAGTCTGGACTGGTTTTTGCAGGTTTCTTGATTGATCCATCAATGAAACCCAACTTGCTTTTCGCCAGTAATGCCGTCCTCATGGAGCGTGCCCAATTGCGGTGATTCTCGCCTTTGAGTGTTGTAGCTACGAGCGGTGTTCCTGGATTATCAGATGAACCAAGGTAATATGGTGATGTGTTTGTGATAGTGGAAGTCAATTTTGTATTGCTGGAGGTATCATTCTTCTCCACACTTTCATTCTCTGAATCAAAATTCTGCTCTGATACCATAATGAAATAATAGAAACTTGTAAAACAAAATGTTTCTGTGTGTATTATTCTGCACAATTTACAATAGTTATATAGCTATACAAAGAGACAAATAAATTCTATTTTAGGGATTAAATCATTCTAGGCCTTGACAAATTAACTCTAATTCATTGGCACAATCTGTCACAATGAATGCTAACCAGACAGCTTATACCAACTAATAATATTACAACTTATTAATTTTTTAGTTAATGTTGACTTTGGTGTCTGAGAAGTTTACTAATTATTTATGAAGTTGAAATAAAGTTGTCTTTTTATGATTTTCTGCTGCATGTTGATAAATAATTGAAAGTTTATTGTTGGGTTGTCGTTGGTGACACCTTAAGTTGGCGAGTAATGCTTTTATATAAGTTTCAGAATTTAGGGTGTTACATTTGATACCTTAACACATGATGTAGAAATCGTATGACAGACAACAAAAAATGATTTATCAAGATGGACGGATCACTTAAAAGATCAATTCGATTTGCAGACGACAACATTATGACATCACAATGAATGAACAATATTAGGGTGAGGAAGAAGGATGCGCATGAAGCTACCGTCACTAGTGTCTTATATGTTCTTTCAATGGCAAATAATTTGATCAGTTTGGGTCAATTACTTAACAAGAATTACACAAGAAAGTTGGAGGGAAGGGAACTCAAGGTGTTTGATAAAATGTCTTGGCTAATTCTGAAGACACCTTTTACACAATCTCAATTTTAAGAGTTTCAACTTTATGCATAGGAAGAAGATGATGTATGAACTTCCAAAGATTAAAGTGTCAAAGGAATGTCGCATAAACAATCAAATCAGGAAACCATTCAAACATGACTTGCCAATCAAATTACATCAGAAACTTGAGATTACGAACTTGGATGTGTGTAATCTATTTGATATAAAATCACTAGGAGATAATTGTTATTTATTGATCTTCATACATGAATTCACTAGACATTTATGAATTAATTGAAGTTTTCAACAATTTCAAAAAATCTAATTTACTGGTTGAAAAATAAGTTGGACACATCATGAAGAGTTGAAACTGATGCGGGTGGTGGTGATGAGTATGAGCATGCTCAGTTTTGTGAAAATGAAGGCATTGTCCATCTTCAAGGTTAATTCTAGAGTGTAACTTTGTGTGAAAAGTAAAGCTTTACTAATGGTAGGTGGTGCTAAAATGGGCGTTGGGGTAAAATTACAATAAATGTTAAAATAGACATCATAATATGTCCGATTTTAAAACGTGATTAAGTTAAGCCGCTTTTATTAAAAAAAAAATCGTAAAAACACGAGAAATTAGGAAAGTTGATTAATCTTATCATCAAATGAATAATGGTAATTAACCCGGCAAAAAAAACAACACAGAACGCGTAATTTGACTGGAAATTGACAAATGAGTTTGGTATCAGAATCAGAAAGCAACAATGAGTCCACCAACCTTCTTCTTCTTCCCATCGTCTCGTTCTCTCTTTCTTCCCGCCTAATTTTCCATGACGACGTCGTTTCTCAACGGCGAGAGACTCGTTCTTCTCTTCTTCATTTCTAGAATCCTTTACTCTCTCCCTCTCTCTCTCCTCTCCCATGGCGTTTCTCTCTCCCTCATCGCCCTCGCCGCATTCTTCCTCGAGATCTCCGTCGATTCTTCCAATTCCCCCTTCCCTCTTCGCACCAGGTACATCTCTCTCTCTGTCTCTCTGTCTCTCTGTCTCTCTGATTCTTCGATTCATCGGTTAATTGATTAATTCCTCTTTTTTCAGACCAGGTGCTTCCTCCGGAATTCTACTCGGTGCAATCACTCTCCCGTCTCTTATTCTCTCCAAATTGATACAATCATCGCGTGGATTCTCGCTCCAACTACTTCAACCTCAAGGTTTTTATTATTCTTTTTCAGTTTTAGGGTTTTTATATAGAGAATTGTGAATTGCAGTTTCGTGATTTGTATAAAATTTTAATGTATAGAGATTGAATATCTGACATTGCAATACTGGGCAACATCTGCCAGCGTCTTCTCTGTGCTTTTGTTCCTCGCGTTGACTATAAGGCGTTCTCGTTGGGGTTTAAGGTTTAGCTTCTCTTTCGCTTTCCTTCAAGCTGTGCTCTCTATTGCAGCGCTTTTGACTACGTCTCAAATTGGTAAGATTCTGTTGGGTTGTGTTTTTGGACTCTTGAGTCGTATAGTTGAGGAAGGTGTATTCTGATTAAACTGATATTGCTTCTTTTTATTCTTAGGGTTGCACCCTGCATTGAAGCTTTCTTGGGTGTTTTTTCATGGATTGGCATCCGTCAAGCTAATTCAGCATTTCATGAGAACTTTTCCGTATTGTGCTTCCATTGGTAGGTTTTTCTTGTATATCTGTTATTCTTATGTGTCTTTTGGATTTTACTATCGTTACAACTGAAATGGGACTAAAATTTAAAAAAGAATTTTGGGTAGAAATAATGTGTTTGTGATTTCAAGTAACAAGCAGACACTAGATGATAGGAATTTATCAATCAGCCATGTCAATTAAAATCAGCAAATCTATTTAGAAAGAGTGAGTATGGAAGTATCGACATGTACGTTGTGAAAATTAACCTTTCTCACTTGAGAGAACCCTTGTGGGCAGCAAATTTTTAATGTGGAAATCCCTTCAATATGAGAGGTAAAAGTTAGTGAACCTAGTTAAGATAAATTTCACTGTAAGATCTAATGAATACAATATAGTACAAATAGCTCCTACTCACAGTCACTGCCAACTGAGTAGAAATCCCTAAAGACAACAAACAACAAAAATATGCCACAAGTACAATAGTGAGTAAAAATCCAACCATACAGATCTGAAGCCCTCAATTTCAAGCAAGGTTATCTTCTAAAATTTACTGAAAGCAGAGCATAAGCAAGTAGCAAAAAGTGAGTAAATGTTTTCCTGTCTCATTCTGCCCCGGTTGACACCAAGAAGGAAAATGTAATCAAAATTTTGAACAATTCTTTCTGTCTCTCTTATATCATGTCACACTTTCTCCCGTTTCCCGTTCTTTTCCTTTTTTAATTTCAAAATTATTGGCCATATTCTCTGTTTAAGGCCACGTACAATAGATTCAGCCCTTCCTTGGACACTGCCTTGGTAGGAGCTTTCTAGTGCCACCCATGAAGAAGACCCAACCCAACAAAATCGTTGTTATATACAAACAAGGTTTCTTTAAATTGTTACTTGATTTTTGTTTTTTTGTCCTTTCTTCAGTAGCTAGCTGTATTCATTTTTCACCCTGATCAGAAATATGGAAAATGCTGCATTACTGCCATTAGACGATCATATCTTAGAATAATTATATACTTGATTAGGGGTGTTTAATATGTCAGCTCTTTTATTGATCATGGTTTCTCACTGATTTTAGGGGAAGCATTTTTGGTGACAGCTGGTATTGTTCTCTATTTTGGTGATATGCTGTTGCTTACTATAAAAAAGGTTAGTGATTTTAAACACAATTTTAGATAAATAGTGTGTGTGTATATATATTTACATGTTATTGGTGATTACAATGTCTAAACAGCTATGTGGACTATTGGTGTCATCAGAGTTGGATACTACAGATGAAATTAAACGAAGTGAGATAAATATTATAATTCAGGTATTGGTCCTTACATTATGATTTTTTTTTTAAGTTACTGGTATAACTAGATCAGCTAAAATTATCTACTGCTTCTACAGGGGCTTGTCCTTGGGCTTTTGCTATATCCAATAGCTTTGAAATATATTCTACAAATATGGGAGTGGTTAATAAATACAATTTATTCTGAACAAAAAAGATACTATGAGATTGGGAGATCCCTCATATTTATTGCTTCCCTTGGACTTGCCCTCATTGTGTTTGTACCATTATGGATGCAGTTCGTACAGGAGTTTGATATGCATCCCTTTTTCTGGTATGACATCAATATTTGATAATTTTGTTAGCTGCCAGATACTGATGTTTTCAGATATGATCTGAAATACTATGGAAGTGGTAATAATAGGATGCTTGGAAAGTAGTTTTTTTGACTATGAGTTGAACAGGATATAATATATTGCGTGCTGGCTGGTTTGATACATACACGTTATAGAATAAGGCAACTCAAGCTGTTGAATACACCCGGAACTGTGGCATGCAGAACATGTTCATTTTAACATCTGATTCCACTGTATTCACATACCTAATATAGACTAATTTGTAAAGATATGAATGTAAGGAAGTCAATATAGTAGTTTTTATGTTGGCTGCAAATGCAGCCTGAGTTTATCCATATCATGAATCCATAGAGAGAAATAGTAATAGAAGAAACTATAACTTATTCAACAAAGAGTCCCAAATAGATAAGTTGTTAAGCCATGATGCCAGTATCATGTTCAAATAATTTTTGGTAAACATATAACCACTGTTTATTTACTTTATCATATCATTATACCAGCTGTTTTGTTAGATAACTATCTTCTAATTTTTTTGAAACTTCTCATTGCAGGGTGCTTTCCTTTGTTTTCTCAGAGCCATCCAAAAGACTGTCGTTGTGTATCTATTGGATGTGTATAATTTTTGTTTCTGTTTTACGATTCTATACCATCTCTAAGAACAGTAAGATTGAGAGGATTCTTTTGCGGAAATACTACCATCTGATAGCTGTCTTGATGTTTTCACCTGCCCTTATCTTTCAGGTAGTTTGCGAGACTACATGATTGTTTGTTATCTAATGGTATTGAGTGGACTCTGCCACTTGGTACCCATTTATCCATTTTCTTTTTCCATTAAATTCCAGTGCCTTGTGTTTTATTGTGATTGGAAGCAGGGGAAAATGTATGAACTCTCCCTTGAATTTATCTCATTTTGAATAGCTGCCATTAACTTTCAAATCATGATGAAAGGGCCTTTAGTTTAACTTTCTGATACTTGTAAATAGACCCTTACATATCTAAGTTAATAAAAAAACTATTCATCATAAGCCTTCTATTTAATGATTAATGCATATGACAATCTATAATCTGTCATTTTTTTTCGAAAATATTTTAAAAAATTCCTCACTTTATTTTTTAAACTATTGTATGGTTTCTACTTTTGCAATTAAAAGTAAATAATTTGTTTTTTTTATCAATCTAATAGTTTAGGAAAATGAGAGATTGTTGTAAGTATTAATTGACACATGCAAGTCGTGAGATAAGTTATTCATTAATTTTTTTTTCACAAATGCTACTTAAAAGTTAGTTTTCATTTTATAGTTAAGAAAAATAAAAGGAAAAAGAATAATTGAGCCATGACGTGTACAACAAAAACATAAATATTTTTTCCTTTACACCAGCATTATAAAGGTCATTACTTGTACGAGAATATGTTTTATATTGATCAATTGTGCTAATTTATGTCAGATGTAATGCCCACTTTTTTATTGTTTTCAGCCAAAATTTCTCGATCTAGCTTTTGGCGCTGCATTGGCGGTTTTCTTAATATTAGAAATTATTCGAGTAAGTATCTTGAAATGTATTCAGCTTAGTGTTGGTGAGATCATACTTTAAAAGGGTGATGTGTGTTTCCTCATTTCTTGTTGATTTTATCGATAACAATCCATAAGGAATCAATATTTAAATTCATTATACTTCAGTTTGGAAAACTGCCATCAGATGTATCTTTCTTTATGCGGCCAAAACAGTTAATTTGAAGGGGTCCTGTGAGATGTATTTGCAATAATCTGTGTACTGATGACAACAAAAGGAAAGGGGATAAAGTATGTAACTGAGACACATTGCAATCTACTAGAACAGTTTCTGTAGAGATATGTCATTAAATTTCTGATTTCATGAAAATTTGTTGAATTGTTTAAAAATTATGATTATGTGAATTGATCATTTAATCCCAACAATACTAGTGTTGTGCAATGATATCTATTAATCTATTATCAATACAACATTACATGTACAGTCGTATTTCTTATTGAAACCATTGGATGCTAGTCATGAAGATACTTAATTTATGATGAGTTGAAAATCAACTTCACAGTCCGGGTCTTTATCTTCTAAAAGCTAAAAGATCTAATATTACTGCCCAAAAGTTCAAATGATTCAGAGCAGGCTCATTGGCACTCATAAGTTTTCTTGGATGCATTTTCATTGACATTTTCTTACTTAGGTATGGAGAATCTGGCCCTTGGGACAACCAATAAATCAATTCATGAATGCATTCACTGATCACCGTGACTCTGATTTTCTCATTGTCAGGTATTATGCTCTTTTCACTAAAGCCCATATTAGAGTGTTTTTGAGACACAGCTGCATTTAGCTCTCTTTCATGACAAAATTTCTGTTTGCCCAGCCACTTCTCACTGTTGCTTGGATGTGCTCTTCCTATTTGGTTGTCTTCTGGGTACAGTGATCGACCTCTTGCCCCTTTTGCGGGAATTTTGAGCCTAGGAATTGGAGATACAATGGTAAGTCCCATTTTGCAAAATCTGCAAGAACCTGAATCAATCTAGGCTGTGACATTTTTGGAGAATGTAATTTACTCCCATTTTGCAGTAATTTTGGGGAATCGGAATGATTTTTCATGAATACTAATGTATGATAATTTTTCTGTGATTTTAGACTACTTTAACTGTCAATAAACAATTCCCATGGAGAAGCAAATTAATTATTTCTATCAGGGCTGTATTGAAAAATGAGCATGTATGGGTACCATTTTGTCTGAGGCGGTGAAGTCAAAAACTAATTAAAAGCATTAAAAACGTGTTCTTTTTAGTATCCTTTTTTAATCCACAAATGTTAAAAGGAGTTTTCGGTTAATGTAGTTGCTTATCTTCGTGGTTGATAGTAATCGATTCTTTATTTTTTGTTTAGGCATCAATGGTTGGATACAAGTATGGTGTTTTGAGGTGGAGTAAAACTGGCAGTAAGTATTTTCCTTATTAATGGTTTTTATCAGTGTTTTCTGTTGCATCATGTGAATGTATAGCTTTCCTTTTTTTCCAGAGAAAACGGTTGAAGGTACTGCAGCTGGTATAACGTCTGTACTAGCTGCTTGCTCTTTACTCCTTCCACTCTTAGCATCAGCCGGATACATTTTTACTCAGGTAAAGCATTTGGTTAAATGTCGATGTTAGCGAACTCATTGTTAGTAATAAAGTTGATTTTTTTTTTGGTGTGATATCCAAGGAACTTGATATCTTAGTTCGGTACTTCAGGTCTTCTGTCACTCTTTGCATAAAACAAGTCCCACGTTATTCTTGTTCCTCTTATCCCTGTTTCATATAAGCACCAAAGCTTTATACAGTTATTTTTGTTACCACTGGCATCAAACAATTTTTTCTTTCACCAATAAGTTAAGAATCTAGTGGGCAAGCACTGCCCACTTTGATTCATGCATACAATATAATCATCTGCTGCATGAGGAGATAGGTCAGACTTTAGGTTCCACGAATTGTATGTCTTTCGGGAGTACTTGCACTTTTCCCCCAACTCTCATCTTTTCTCACATGCGCAAACCGGGCCAGCTTAAGGGACACCTTTATGCTTCATTTCAATCTCTCCTATATCCCGTCTGAGGAAGCGAGAGAAAGGAATGGAAAAAGTAAGCCTATAGTAATACTGCCGAGTTCTATACTCCAAAGATAGTAAGATGCAGTTTCATCTTAGCATCCCTTTAATAAGGAGAAAGTACAAAATCCACCATTTCTTTTTGATTAAATGAAATGGTCAAATCTTGCTAGTAATCTAGAATGTTTGTTCCTTAGACTACTGAGTTTTTCTTTGACATCTTTGTTAATAACTTTTTGCAGCATTGGTTCTCTCTACTTCTAGCCGTGACTGCAAGTGGCTTGTTGGAAGCCTACACGGCACAACTTGACAACGCCTTTATACCACTCTTTTTCTATAGTCTTCTCTGTTTGTAGGAATAGCTTCTCACTAAAACAAGTTTCCTTGAAGAACAATGACTGGTTTCTGCAAATGTGCTTCAGTGTTTTGGCAGAAAAGGTCAGATAATTATTAACCAATGCAATGACGATTCATGACAGTTAGGTTTGGTGTACATAGTTAGGATTGTATCTTTATAGAGAAGTGGTAGGAATACAGGTGTTTTGACCTTTTCTTTTTAAGGGTTAATACCTAACAAATAGCATACAGTATGCCCAGGATAGGTGTGACATTTTTCATTTTTTTATGAAACACATATAGTACTTTTCATTTCTTAAGGTTATGTTATGTTGTATATCAGCAAGTGGTAGATTCAAAAATTTTAAATTATGTGAGAAATATTCATATACAGTGCACACTTGTAGTACTTTTCAGTTTTTAATATCTCCAAGCCTTTGGCTCCCACATTAATTTTTCAACATTCTGGTAGGACACCTGGACACTTAGACATATTATAGAAGATTGTGGAATAAATGAATGAGTTAGTTAAGATATTCTCTGATTTTAGGGAATTTCTGTTATAAAAGAGAGGGAAGGGTAGGAGAAGTTCATTCAGAAATATTGTTAGAAGAGTTACACGTAGCTCTGGTTAAAGAGTTAGTAGAACTCTCTCTGGTTTATGCATTTTCATTTCCTTTTCCATCATTGTAAGAGCTTGAAGCTCACCATTTCTAGTCAATAAAATTCATTTCATCACCTTAAACTTCTGAGTCCTATCACATTCCCACATAATGTTAGTCAGTACTACTGAAATTGTCTTTGATGAACTCTAACAATGGTAACTTGGAAGTTCAACACTTCAGAAGATTGTTTCTAACCCTGTTAAATGAATCAACGTTACATATAGATTTGTGTTAGTAACTTTGAGCAATTGTGCTGTGGATTGGGATAATTGATGACTAATACTACCGAATTCTCTTGACTTTCATAAATTGAGCTAAAATATGGAAAATTACAATTGTTCTCGCGTAAGTGATATTCTCAACCATTTGATTCTGCGAACTATAGTTGAACAATAGTATAAAGTTGCTTCTGGCAAGGTTCACCAAGCAATTGACATGTGACCAAAGCAAAATATCTAGAGCTGTGTTGTTTGTCCAACACTAATAGTAGCTTCAGCTCATGCATGACGCAACTTCCTAGTTATTGGCTTCAAAATTGAGACATTTTTGTTTGCTGATGTATATATGACCTTGAGGGGTGAGTGAGAGGGATTAGTGAAGTCCAATTGCCGAACGTGGGACATTCAACACATGTACAATGTAAAGCGCGTTATGTTATTGTGGGGTACTGTGACGCGTTTTAAAGATTAAAGCACCATGTTCAATCACTTTGGACCACGAAAGTTCTTATGTCTTAGGACAAAAAAGTACGTTTATAAACTTTTTTGAATAGATTGGTCGTGCTATTACTTGTTACTCCAATCATTTTTCTATTCATATTTTAGCATTTTTCATTCATTGCTCTCGCCCCTCTAAAATTCAAATTTTCATTCATTACTGTCACCCATCTCTATCTCTTTCCGCCTTATATTTTTATTTATGTTTATTAAAAAAAATGAACCAAAGGCTATGATTTACTAATAGACCCATCTAATGGCTCTTACTTAACTGACTGTAGTGTCTGCACAGAGCAATGACTACGGTCGATCTTGGACTTTAAAAATGACATTTAAATTTGAAGTTAGAATTTAATATGGAGGCAACATTAATCTTAGTCAAGAATATTTAGTGTGTTTGGTTCTACAATGAAATCAATTCAAGACATAATCAACTATTTTAAAAAAAATTAAATTTGTCCAGATTAATTCTATTCATCTAAATTTTCTTTTACTTAAAAAAAAAAGTAGAAATCAAATTTACATTTAAGGATTCAATATTAATTTTAGATTTACTTAAAAATAAGTTAAACATTAAGTTTTATTCTAAAAATTGTTTAAATTCAAAAGTTAAAATTTGTTACAAAGATAAAATATGAAAATCAATTTTCCTCAATATTTGAAGAAGCAAAGTGATGATGAGAAAGAAGAATTTGGCAAGAGAACATAGGAATGGACACATAGAGACATGTTTAATAAGAGAGTTGGAAGGAGATATGACTAGACGATACTCAAAAAGAGACGTTTCGTAGTATGATAACTCCTACACACACTGTACCCACATGCTTTGGTCTCATTCACCCCCCTCTACTTTCTTCTTCTTCTTTTTTTTATTTTTTATTTTTTATTTTTATTTTTTAATTTATAAATGTTATACCTTCCGTCCATTTTTTAAGTGCTATTTTTGTATGTTTTGTCAAGTAACATAATCACACCCACCTTATTAATGAGGAACGAGTAGGATGTCGTGGATTCGCTACTATATTCAATATTCCTATACCGCTATTAACTGAATTGTTTTTATATACATTAAAAAGTAGAAGTGTTAAAAACACAGGGACAAATAAACAACGACTAACTCAATCAAATTAAATTAAAAATTGCAAAAAACAACGTTTGGATCATTTTTTTAACTGAATCACGTTATTCGATCTGGTTTGTAATATGTATTTTGCAAATCGAATCGAACTGTATTATGTTATAACTCAAACTCCACTTAATCTACATCCAACTCAAACTCAAACCCATTATGACATCACCTTACGATTACAAACGATTTTCTCTTTCTCACACTTAGAACTTGTTATGGACTGGGCAGAGACCTGTCCCTCAGATGGGCAGACCCAAGCCAATACTATGCTGATGAGGTCCAACAAGACCCAATCCTCTTTGTCGGGCACAAGTCTCAACAAGGCAGACGAGTCGGGCAGAGCATTATCTTGCACGGGCAGAGCTCACACGCTTTCTCCACGTTCTCCATGTGTTTCCCACGCGGGGATACGTCATCAGGCAACTACCCACTTTCGAAAGAGTTGACCATCCCACCTTCCGAAGATCACGGGGTAGTTGATCTAGGGAGAAGACCACGTGCTGGTCTTCCCTACGCCACGTAAGCCCTGACAGTTATTTGTGTTGGACTTGACAATCTGGCCCAATGTAATGTATCCGTTGGCCCTGCACTAGGGGCACATTATAAATTCCCTCTTTCACTAGAGGGTCAGGTATCTTATTCACTACACCTTTTCTCTGTACTTGCTCTCTCTAGTTCCGTTACTCACTTAAGCATTTGAGCATCTTGCAGGTACACCCTCCTCCTTTACAACACCGATGAACGCAGCAACTCACGACGCGTGGCAGGCTACTGATTTTTTTCTGATCAGGTACGATTGGCGGCGCCGTCTGTGGGAACCTTTTACTTCCCGTTCTTTCTCCTGTCCAAGCGTAGAAGCTCAAAAACCAAAGCAACCTTCAACTTCCATTCTAGTCATGGCCAGCCCACGCGATGACAATGCTCCTGAAACCGCCTTCATCCTTTTCACCAATAGAGACGACCACGACTCCAACGTGACCGTCTGCAACGAAGAAGGCGACTACAGGGACGGGTGCACCGCCTCTCCCTCATTGGAAGATGAAACCTTCAACGTCGTCCAGCGCTTCGACATCCCTGCTGTCTACCAGCTCATCCCGGTGCCAACAGGTGCCAACCCTACCACGGTGGCCCTGTTCGCGGCGATCAACTAGACTAACCCGATGATCTTCGGGAAGAACGAGCGAATAGGGATGCTCGAGTGGGAACGACCATCACGCTCTCCCCCGCGGAGACATTGTCGCCCAGTTTCCAATAGCCCCTCTCCTCCCCCACGGAGGACACAACCATTCGACGATTCTCGGAGCCCTTCTCCTCAACCGACTGGGCGTCGCCCTCGTTTGGAGCGACCACAACCGTTGGCTTCCTAGAAGCGGGGCATGTCGCCTTCCCGGAAGGAGCGACACTCCCTAGTTCAGAAGAAGAACAAAGCCAAAGGGGGTGCCTCTAAATCAATAGCCCGACCGAAGAGTCCTCCCCAACGGAACAACCAGGGATCAACCTCCCCCTCACTGTCGCCCTTCAAGAGTGACGAAGACGTCCAACGCTCGCCACTATGTAGGGCCATCAGGGAGGCCCCACTACTCGTCGGGATGGAGAAACCTCTGTCCTTCAGTGGCACGATCGACCCGGACGACCACATTTAAAGCATCGACACGATGCTCAATTATCGAAATGTTCGGGGAGCCATCAAGTGCAGAATGTTCCCCACTACCCTGAGGAAGGATGTCATGGCGTGGTACAAACGCCTCGCGCCCGAATTCATAACCTCTTGGGGCGAACTGAAGAGGCAGTTCTCCAGGCACTTCACGGCCTCCTGGCGCCATCCGAAGATAGAGGAAACCCTGTATCTAGGGGAAGAACGAACCTCTCTGATACTATATAGAGAGGTTCAACCGAGAGGCCATCTAGGTGTCCACCACAGACAACATAAAGAAATTCCTGATCCAGAGAGGCATAAGACCTCACTCCGACTTCGCCAAGGCCGTTGGGATTGAACGTCCTCGTACCTTGAATGCCCTTTTTCACAAAGCCCAATCATACATCGAGTATGAGGAGATAGAAGCCGCGAACACCTCCCGAGACACGCGGAACCAAGAGGGCTTCAAGGGTTCCAAGCATGAGGAGGTCGTTCCTTCTTGACGAAGCGGGGAAAGAAAACGTGAAGACCGAACCCACGAGCAGAGGGGACCCGCAGGCCAATTCACCGAGTACACGCTGCTAACAGCTCCCCGCGAGCACATCCTGTCCGAATGCATCAATTCGGAATTTCAAAGGGGTGGTGTCCATTTCCCGAAACTGACGCCCCTGAAGCCCAACATGGACAAATCCAAATACTGTCGGTTCTACCGAAGTCATGGACACGTCACATAAGATTGCATCCACCTCAAGGATGCAATCGAGATCTTAATTAAGGAAGGGCACCTGAAACAATACACCAGGAGAGGTGAAGCTCCCTGACCTGAGGCCCGCGAAGTCAAAAGGGTCGAGGAAGTGTCTCCTCCCTTCGATGA